CCAGAAACTGACAAGGTTAGCTTTAATTAAATTAAAGCCTATTTATACCCTATTTGGGGAAAGTCAAAATAGCTGTCTACAGTTTGAATTTTGGCCCAATAAAAATTAGAGAAATTCCCTGTGATGAAAAGGAAAGAATGAAACCCAGAGACATATCGACGGAGTTATAAGCCAGTAGAAAAGAATTCGGCAAAACCAACTCTAATTAAATATTATTTAATGAATTACGTCACTGAGGAGAGAGGGTTGGGATATTCCTTTCTCTATAAGTATACCGTGAAGAGATTAAGTTAAGAGTCAATAGAAGATACATTGGCAATGTTCAGAAACCCAGAAGGGAGCCGGATCGACAATGTCTGGTCCCTTAAGGGTCAAAATGGTAAATTTATGAAAAATTCTTAAAAATTTCCTAAAAATGAAAGAGGGTAAATTAGGAGTTTTTGAGTCATATATGATGTTTTGGGAGTGAAAATAACCCAAAATAAATTATTGCGATATTTCTAAAAAATAGTGATTTTTGAAGAAAATAGTGAAAATTGAGGAAATATAATTATTTTAATTATATAAGGGCCTCAATAATTCAAGAAAAAATATGGGTAAGTTCCTTGGGAATATATTTGAATTTATAAAATTATTTTCAAGCATTGAAAATGAAGGAAATAATTTATAGGGAATTTACTTCTGAAATTATATCGATAAAAGCCCGATTTCGGAGAAAAATGTGAAATAAATAGTTAGAGGTTATGAAAAATCCCCAAAATTTTCATATCATACTTTTATATTAAATTTGGATTTTTCACGGAAAGAAATGAATTTTTGGAGGCCCTCAGCTATTTTTCCTAATAAAGGCCTAAAAGGAGAAAATCGGGTAAAGAATTACGGTTGGGATTGAATTAGATTAATCCCATTGCTTCCAAACCAGATTTGGGACACTTAGTTAGCCCAAATAATCAGAGAATTTCGTGCTCCCTAAGCCCATGCACATGGTCAAGTTGGTTGGATAAGGTTTGATCATGACTTTGCAAAATATCTCAAGCAAGCTTGTGAAATAAGCTTGCATATGTGACTAATTGTTTCCCTTCCACTTGGTCCGAAATTTTGAAGATATTTTGGGCAGGAAAATGCTGATTAATAGGAGAGAGAGAAGGCAGCACATGTGGCAAATTTCTTGGGGAAGAAACAAAGATCAACGGCTAGGATTAACTTGGAATCAAAAGCTAGGATTTGTCCAAATCCTTTATAAATATCCATACCCCTTATGCTTGCAAAGTTTCGGCCATTCATGGGGGAAGGGAGAGAAAACTGAACAGCAAGGGAGGAGAAGGGGAAGGGAAAAAGCAAAAGGATCCCATGCCAATCCAAGTCTCAAATCAAGGTATGTTTATAGATTTTGATCTAGTTTCCACTTCCCTTGCTCTTTGTAAGCTTGGTGGTTGGTTTGGTTGGATTTTTGGATGGTTAAACCCTAGGCCAAGGTGCTGCACGAAATTGATAAGGTTAGGGAAAGATGAAACAGATGTTAGAAACATGTTTAAAAACTTGAAAACAACAAGAATCAAGTGGTTTGATATTGATTCTTGGAGAAATCAAACTTCCCCTTTCATTTGTGTATGCTTCTGCCATGACTGGAAATTTATGATGGGTCTAGAAATTGATGATTTTGATACCTCCAATAAGTTTAAATGATGATTTTGTGTGGGGATATATGTAAAAAAACATGTTTGGAAGCATTAGATTTGAAAATGGAAATTTTGGACATAAAGCACCTATGTTTCGGCCAAACCAGAATAGGGGGAAGGAGTTGGATTTTGATTATTTTGAGCTTGGAAATGGATTCTACATGCAAAATTATATGGGATTAGTATGTGAAAATAATCTTAGGAAGGTTGGAATTGAAACTCAAAAGTTAGAGTTCAAGTATGTTCAAGAAAGAATCAAGTAGAGATAAGTTGATGACTTGATTCTAATAATTGTTTTGCATCATGTATTGATGTGTTTAGGACCTTGGAACATCCAAAAGGATGTTTAATGGTGTTGACCAAAAATCCATAGGGTTGGAAAGACAAGGGAATCAAAGGAAAAGCAAGAGGAAAGCTATGTTACAAGGTAGTAAACTTACCTATATTGTGTGCTTGATATGTATGCTTGCATGATGTGGTTGTTTTGCCATGATGTGACTAAGTTATGATGAGATGTTTGTAAAATTATGTTTGCAAGTTTATGTTATATTCTGCCTTGGCAAAATGTTATGGAAGCATGAAATGCTTTAGCTTACTTTCCATGGCATTCATGTGTTAATGTTATAACATGTCATGCATGTGCATTATGTCTTGCATGTTTATGGGTAGTGTTTGCTACTGAGATTCTCTCGAATCTCACCCCTCCCTAACCAACCATTTAGGTCAATCAATGGTGGGCAATAATGACATGAGAGGCAGGGAGAAGAAAGTGGAGAATTATTGGTGTTAATGAGTGATGTTATTATTCAATATATAATTCTCCTATTTTGTAATCTATGTTATGGATGTCAATAATGCCATGTATTTAATTACAATGTTTATGGGATGAATAGAAATGTATGAAGATGATTGGAAAAGTGTAAACCCAATTTATGTATGCCAAAGAAATAGAAAGAATTAAAGTAAAAAGAGGTTAAGGGATAAAACATAGGTCATGGAGCAGTGAGTTTGTAGCTCCAGTTTGACCTACCGAATGAATAAGTTAAGCCACGAAATTTAGCAGAGCTATAGTACACATCCCAAGCTTTAAAATAAGAGATAGATCATCTTAATTGGATGTGTATACAAGGAGACACGAATTTTCAAAGTTAAGGCACATAATCTGGGAGTTCCAGAATTTACCAAATGAAAATTAGTTTTATTGATTAAACTATACGAATTGGCCATGGATAAGTCCAGTTTGATATTTTTCCCTTAAAGAGAATTGAAGGATCTTTCTATAAAATTTTAGAACACCTCAATATGATTTTTATGGAATTAGTTATGAATTTTTTCAAAATTGGACCTGAAATCTGAATTTAAATAGTGAATAGTAATCTGAGTAGTTATATTGAAATTTTTAATCGACGGGCTTGTATTTTGACTTGCTTGAACCATAATGCTTATAAATGCGTACTCTGAGGGGTTAAAGGTAGGATGTTTCAACCACCATTTCCTATTCCTTTCATCTTACCCTCCTCTTTCATTTCTCCTACTTCTTCCTCTAATGCAGACAAAAAAAGGGAGAAGAGTGAAGCTTTAGATTTAGATTAATTTTTATATGTTTACATTATGTTTTTTTTTCTGCATTGTATTTTGATAGTTCATGTTATGTATATTGACAGTTTATAAATTTCTGTCAATTTGACAGATTATCACTGTTAGTTTATCATCTTGTTTATCAGCTTTTGAACTTACTAGTTATTTTGAAAATTTATTCTAACCATCTGCTTAGATTCTTGTGTACTCTATTTTCTTATGTTTTGTCATCATAAAAAAAAAATAGAATGTTAGATTTATAGTTTTGATGATAACAAAGTAAGCAATTAAGTTTCTCTGCATAATTGGAACTTTGATCGATTAAGTGTTCGATCAGTGGTTAATCGAATATGTGTTGGATCATTAAATGCATTTTCTAAGCTTATATACTATTAAATTTTATCAATCACCAGTTAGATAATTCACTGTGTGAGATGACCTATTAGATGAATAGGATTGTTTGATCCTTTACTTGATCACTGGTTAAACTGTTTTGACATAAGTGCTTTCAGAAAATTATCAATCACCTGATTGATAATTCAAATGATCAAATAGCTGTCAGGTAAAGAAGACAATCCCTCTCATGTTTAAATAAAAGATTATTCGATCATCTTATTGCCTAAACGGTTATCAAACACTGATAATGGGTAAATCTCTTAAACTCACATACTATTTGGAGTGCTTCGTTATTTATCGATCACTTTATCAATCATTGGCTTATCTATGACTTACTCTAACATTGTTTTACAAAACTTCTCTTATTAATCGATAATCTGTTTGATCAAGATACTCTCTGATTTGTCCTAATTCTAGCCTTTCATTGACAATGATCGATCATGTAATCGATCATCAACATATCCTTGTGTAATAATTGTCTAAGTCTTTTTAAATAGTTTTACTATTTTTTCTTTCTTTTTACTTCATGTAGCTGCTCACTCTTTTTCATTGCCTCTTCTTTCTCTTTTTGTAACATCTACCAATGAGTCAAAGGCACAGAAGGTTATGAACTTTGTGACAAAAATTTAACAATATCATTTAATGTGAATATGCACAACACAGTTATCATTGACAAGTCAAAGCTATATTAACAATTATCACGGCTCATATTGACAACATATTTTCCTATTTCGCAGTAAGGGTTTTAGCCACACCAACCTTCATCTTCCTCATCAATTCCCATCGAACCATGATTAAACAGAGCAAGCCCACCTTCAACCCCCCACAATATACCTAAAAATAAAATACCCATCATCACCCTACCCACCTATAATAAAACCCTAACTTAAATGATCAAGCACACACCAAACCAAAAACATAAGTGGTTTTTGCCAATGGTTGACATGGGTGGAGTGGATGAGATTTTCAGATGGGAATGAGGAAGAAACATAATAAAGTTTGGGCTTTTTCCCTCTTACCTTATGTGCATAAAGTAGTGATTCTCAAATTGAAAAACAGGACAACTTTTATTTATTTTGGATGCATCTCACTAGGGGCAAAAAAGTCTTTTTACACTTCACTAAATTGTACTCAAGTCCTTTTAAAACTTCATGTTCATTACTAAGTTTCCTCAGATTTTTTTTACAGTATTTTATGCTCCATGAGACCTCAGTTATTTTCCCTTAAAAAAATTAGTCAACCTTCGTTATATTGGGCCTAACATTTACAGAGTTTATGGAGAGAACATGACGGTTGAAATTTATATCAGGATAAATGCTATAAAAACAATTTTTTAACGCTATGACATTCAGAACAAAGTCTGACAATTGAAAATCAGAACAAAAACAAAATCATATATGTCCAAAATATCCACAAGCGAATAGTTGGCAAAAAAAAAAAAATCCGAAAGCAAAGGACAAGTGATACAATAGTACGGAAGCATTAAATAAAATCGCCCAAAAGACTCAAATACTGCAAAAAGATATATATTACTGTTTTAAAAGTAGAAGATCCTGATATGGCAGAATGAAACCGAAGATGAACTCAACAAAGCGTGGTCGTCAATTTTTCAGGGTAGTGAACATTGGAGAGCAGCTTCATAGCATTTGCATGACTCTTTTAACTCTTTGACGTGTAGATGCAATTTGAACTTGCAATGCTCTGCATCTTGCAAACTGAGGGACTACATTGAATGGAACTCCCCCTAAAAGCATAATACACAAAGGCATTAAATGCAACATTGACTCAAGGTGTGATGATAGTAGGATAAGAGAAAACTTCAGATATAACATTATATCAAAGATTGTATGAAAACATCAGCCATATATTGTCTACGGATCAAATGTGTTAATCTCTATATCCAAATGAAAAGAATGGTAGTATAGAATGATCCATTATGTCATAGCACCATAACACCATAAAATGAAACTGCACGGACCTTTCAGCTTATTGCCCCTCTAATTCTCTTGTTTTGTGTATGACTTTCACCCCATGAAATAGACATCTTAAAATATTAGTTGAGTATCAACACTAAAGTGCAATAATTTGAAAATTAACTCAAACAACATGGTGATTAGTGATTACTAAAACATCGAACACAACATAACTTTAAAACATAGTTGGAACGAATTAGTGACCTGAAGATAGAAAGATCCACGTAAAAGTTTGCTCTAAACCAGCAGAAGTGCTTGTCATAGTACACATCTTCCATACAAGGAAGATTGGACGTACCATCACAAATGACAGTGCACTAACATGATTCATCAAGCAAATGGCATAGAAATCCAGAAAGTGCAAACCAATTCACAGTATCTTCAATGAATAGGGTGCAGAAGACTGATTGTCATCCCGAGTATTTTGCAAAAAGGACAGAACTCATCTTGAAAGTTCCCAGATTAGGAAAGTACATATGTGAGAACATGGTCTTTATACTAGCCATTGGTTGCATCACTTTGATTTTCCAACAATTGAAAAAGATTTGGCACTACCTAGCACAAATCTTCCACACTGCTCAGTATCTTATTCAGTTTATGCATTTCCTGATCTTTTACAATTTTAAAATTTGAGAAATTTGATGTAATATTTAATTATTTAATAGTCATATTCCCTTTGCCAGTACGGAAAATATTTATTCATACCAATTTACTCGTGTTTCAAGGAGTGCAGGTCCATTTACTAGAGAAAAATAGACACTTCATCTTAACGGATATTTGCGGGGTTAAAACTGGAAAATTTGCAAGATAGAAACAAGGCATCAAATATTACTGTTAGATGTAGTTAGAAGATGTAATTAGTAGTAGTTGGTAACTAGGGGTTAGAACTTAGCTCTTTAAGCATTTATTAGTCCTCTGAAAAGCTCTTTGTATTCCATCAGACCTGGAGAATAAAATCAGCAGAAACATTTTTCCTCTCAATATTTCGTCAATTATGATATGCACTTTCTTTACCAACCAAGTAACTTCCACGGACACACAATTTGGAAAACCGCAACAGATACAGGAAGCTGACAGTCCTCATAATTTAGCTTCCAAGTTGCTGCTATAACCAGACTCTTCCATTGCTTCTGATGCCTGCACAAGTGAAGAATGGGAGAATTGAGGTGGGTATATGAGCCTTGCTTAGAACAGAAGAATGGATATATCTTCAATTGCAACCCACTCAATAAAAAAAGATGAATAACAGCATGCATACAAAACCCAAGTCAATGATGTATGAAAGCCATATTGAGTAACCTGAGTTCTAAAGAGTGAATTCATACTAAGTAAGTGATTCAAATATCTTTATTTTCAATTAATCAGCTTTATTAAAATAACACAATGCACACAAAACTGATCTGTCAAGAAACTTTTCAGACAAATTAATGCTACGTGATTTGCTTTTCTCCCTAGACCTATGATGAATTTACCTGGTTTGATGTCCCTCTGCAAATATCCCTTTCAATGTAAATATTAGACAATTTTATGCCACTCCCAATTCGTTATTTTCAAATTCCACCATACAGCATAAACCATCCTCAGAGGATAATGCCGAATAATGAGCATCAGTTGACCTTTTAAACAATGCTGGAAGCAGTTTAAAACTTTTGTAAAGGAAGATTTATGGAAAGCCTGCGTATCAGGCAACTCGCAAAAAAAAAAAAAAAAATGAAGAAGCCTTTGGAACTTGGTCTACGAAGATATAAGATTGCATAGTACGTTAGGTAAGTACAACAGGTAATCTCAAATATTTAAGAAAATGTTTTGGCGTTGCATACCATCTTTAGTATTTGAGTAGAAAGATTTCAGCACTTGAAGGAGAAAGATCTGGTAGAATAACAAAAAGATCCATTAAGGAAAATTTGTAAGCTGCATTTACAGATTCAGATCCAGAAGCAATTTGTTACGAACCTGAAATAGGATGAGTTCTATGTAGGTTTTCCTTTTCTCGAAACAGATAACGTATATCTTCAGGAAATCACCCCCTGAAAGGAAGAAACCGACATGATACAATTTTCAAGCACCATCAAAAAGTAAATGAATTGCATAAAGTTGCGGCCCGACTGCAAAATGTTAGACAATGGTAAAATTTATGACCATTCTAATAACTTAACTTTTTTATCATTCAACACTAAAAAATAAGAATGATTCAAATAGGGCAGAAACAAATAAAGCTTATCAGCAGTATAGGTAAACTGACAATTCCACCGGTATTAAAGCCTATTAGTCGGAACATGCAGCAGTTATTTGTTTCCATTCAATGCTTATTGATGTCCCCAAATATAGAAACTGCATGTCTTAACAATGTAATATTTTAAAAAGAGATTTGTAATAGGCCACTCTTTTCGAAAGGGTTTATTGAAAATATGGCATGGCGTCTCAACTATTTCAAAATCCCATTTAAAGGAACCGCATGTTAGGGACCTTCTAAGATATAAGACAAGATTTATTGTCTCCTTCCCACTCTTGCCATATTATTCTTCTGTCAAAATATGAAAATGCCCTTATTTTTAGTCTAACTTGTTCTGACTTGTTTACTCAAAATAATAGCTCTACTACAAACTAACTTGAAGTGAGCAATCATTTCTCACAATCGACATATAAAATCCAAACACCGTGAAAGCATTCCTCTAAATATATGGAAGTGAACCATCAACGATTAGGGGTTTACCAAGGAAAACAAACGACTAAAAAAATGTATAAATCAAGCCAAAAGGATTGCCTTTCTTTTATTACAAGTAAAAACTACTTGAGTAAACAATATTTGCTTGGCCTAACCAAGGATCCTTCAAGACACTTGCAATTTTAACTGAAACGGTGAATGATCAACATCAACCCAAATAAAACATCTAAACAAACAACTCAATTCAAAGCACCAACACTATTGCGAGCAAGTTTTGTCCACTCAGTATGAAAGGAACCAGGGCGGTCAATTCGCTCATATGTATGAGCCCCAAACAAATCCCTTTGAGCCTGAACAAGGTTGGCTGGAAGCCTAGCTCTCCTATATGTATCAAAGTAAGCAAGACTAGCACACATGCCAGGAGTGCTAATACCAGCTGATATAGCTAGTCCCACAACTCTCCTCCAAGCTGCTTGTCTCTGCACCATCTCTCTCGCAAATTCTGGGTCCACAATCAAACTAGCCAGGTTGGGGTTTCTCTGATATGCCTTCTTAATCCTATCAAGAAACACCGCTCGTATAATGCACCCACCTTTCCAAATTCTCGCCAACTCACCCAAGTTCAAATTCCATCCCTTCTCGTTACTCTTAGCCCTCAGCAAATTCATCCCCTGAGCATAGCTACAAATCTTGGATGCGTATAAAGCTTGCCTTACATCATCTATCAATCGCTTCTTGTCAATTCCACTCTTCACAGATCCCCCTTGGTCATTCAATCCTGCCTCCTTCAATACATTGGACGCATTCTCTCTCTCATCCTTGAGTCCACTCAAGTATCGGCAGTCCAATGAAGCAGCAATAGTCGGAGCTGCCACTGAGAGTTCAGCTGCTTGTTGTACAGTCCATTTTCCGGTACCTTTCATACCTGTTTTATCCAATATCTTATCCACCAAATCCCCATTTCCAGATTCGTCCTTAACTTTAAAAATATCAGCAGTTATCTCAATCAGGAAACTCTCAAGCTCCCCTCTGTTCCATTCAGCGAAAATCTGAGAAAGCTCCGAATTGGACAAACCCCCAACGTGCTTCAACACGTCATAGGCCTCTGAAATGAGCTGCATATCCCCGTATTCAATCCCATTGTGGACCATCTTAACAAAATTACCAGAGCCACCCTCGCCAATATATGTAACACAAGGGCCATCCTCGACTTGAGCAGCGACTTTCATCAAAATATCCTGCACATTGGAGTATGCCTGATAAGAACCCCCAGGCATTAAAGAGGGTCCATGACGAGCACCGTCTTCGCCGCCAGAAACACCCATACCCAAGTAGAGTATACCCTTATCAGCAACTTGTTGGATTCTACGCTCGGTGTTCTCGTACCACTCGTTACCTCCATCGATGATGCAGTCGCCGGCCTCCATGTGTTCGGAAAGGGCTGCAATGGTCTGGTCAACGGGAGCACCGGCCTTAACAAGGATGACGACTGATCTGGGCCGTTGGATAGAAAGGACAAAATCTCGAGGGTTGTACTGACCGACGAGGGGGAAGGTGCCCTCTTGGCGGGCCCGATCCACGGTCTCGTCGACTTTGGAAGTGGTGCGGTTGTAGACTGAGATAGGAAAACCTTTCTCGGCGATGTTGAGGGCTAGGTTTTGGCCCATGACGGCGAGGCCCGCGAGGCCTATGCGGGACAAAGCAGCTGCCGAAGCCTCCATAATAGTAAGGGGGAGAGAACGGAAATTAGAGAGGAGGGAGTAATGGAAATGGCGGCTAGGCTACATAGATCAGATGAGGCAAAAGAGGAAGAAGTATCTATTTATGTACCGGCCGGGCAGTTGGACTTCGGGTTTTTTTCTTCAATTTTATTTTTAATTTAATGCAAATGGGGCTGGCGGACTCGTCGAGGGTATCAAGGGACAGTGACTCAACCACCAACGAGAAGGTGCCGTGACCGTCGTTGTTCCCAAGGAGGCTGAAGTTGTATGACTTCCACTAAACGACTTCGTTTTTCACCTCTTGCATACCGGTGACTCGATCTTGGGAAAATTACCCACAGGTCCCACAGAAGATAATTAATTCAGAAAAAGTTCCTAAAAATCCCCAAATGCTTCCTAAGTCCCTAAGGACTTGTGGATAATTAATTTCAATTGTGATATTACCTACTTACCTTCATTAATTTGAGTCTGAATAATTTCCCCGTCTTAAACCCTTGGCCACTCTGTTTCTATCAGGACTATCTTCTTCGTGTTTCCATTGTTTGGGCCCCTTCATATGACACAGGCGGCTTCACATCCATTGCCGGCGAGCTTCAGTCACATCGTTGGCGAGCTTCGCACCCCATCATCAACGAGTGTCGCACCTCACTACTGGCTAGCCTCGCACCCACCCATAGATTTGGCGATTACGTTTTCTTCAGATCGCGACTGTTAGAGGTGTTAGCTATCAAAGAGAGCTGATGAACTGAGAGAGGAAGAGGCCACCGGCTTACCATCTCCAGATTGAAGGGTTGTTTTTTCTCCTTTTATGTGAGATTTCTTGTCCCTTATACTCCATCTACTTCACCATTTCGTCTTCTTCTTCATTGTATTTAGCTAAAACTCAACGGCATTTGTTATGCGTGCTAGGAATTAAATTATAAGTTTTTTTTTGGTTTGCGGTTAGCATGGTCTTTGGAATTAGTATTGAGGATGAATTCAATCATATTCTGATTTCTGATGACATATTCACCTCACTTTGTTTATGGAGGAAGATAGTGGGGCTGGATGTCATGGCCTCTAGACCTCTGGTCACTCTAATCATTAATTAGAGAGAGAGAGGGAGAGAGAAATATTAAAAAGGGGCAAGAGAATTTATTTCCCAATTTCATATAAGGGCCTTACAAGTAGGTAATTGATGCCAAGTTTGACAACTCGTAGCCCATTGATCCAGTAAGTCCCTGGCCAAATAAATTTCTATCAATAATAGATGCTATCTAAAGAGCCAAATTATAATCGATGTAGGATTTCCAACAAATATCATGTCAAGATAGAAATGCATTATCTCTCAATTGTATATACATAGATGATAGATATTCATAGCTATGTAAGCATCAGTTTGCTCAAGTCTATTACATTTCTGTGACCGATGAGCCTGAGCATTTGATTCCTTCCCACAAATCACCATAAGGATGACCCCTACTTGTTTTCCAGCCTTCCAAGTGCGAATGAGATGTTAAGCTGCTATAAATCCCGTTGAGTGCTAAAACTGCACAATTACACTAATAAAATTAAGAATTTAAACTTTACAATTAAAAAAAGAAAGAAAGAAAATGACTTGAAATGTGAAAATAATGGAAATTTCCAATTGATTCATTAAAAAAAATTAATTGTTTCAAACAAGCATGAAGTGACATCTGAAAAGAAAAGAAAATGCATAGCTTCATTTCAAGCTAAGCCCCGAATAATAAGTTCACAGGGTTATGGATATTGCAAGATAAACTAGTAAGAACAAACATACATAGATTAATGCCAGTTAGTCCAACAAGATACTTCGGTCTTTGTCCTCTTTCCTGATCTATCATCCAGCTTGAAAGAAGTAACCTTCATATTTATTCTATTACAATAGTGAAATCAGAAAATCGTTGAAATTTGTTCAAATTTATTTTCATATTATGGAAGGTGGAGAGTATTTTGATTGGAGTTGCATCTCTTCATGCTACATTGACTCTAATGATTGAAGTTGACAATGAACTTGTAAATCAAGCACTAGATCTCTTTATTGATTCGAGACAACCTTCTATAGAATAGTGGCAGCATTGCTAAATGCACATGTTAGTCATTAAAAAATAACCAAACCCATTGTACTTAATGCTTTTATCAAGAGACTAAGGATGCTAAAGTTAGTAACTTGTAACAAGATTGTTATTTTTAAGGATTGATTTACGTATTTTCTAATTTCAAGGACTAAAGTTGATTAAACATGCTAGTATGGGACCATGTTATTAAGGTACTCTAACGTAAGCCATGGATTGATTTACTGTATCATTCCAAAAACAAATAACCCATTTTTTTAAGTGACAAGTAATCAAAAAGTTATAATGTGATGGCAGTATTTTTTTTCCTTTTTGAGGTTTAGCAAAATGGCTAAAAAGAGTAAGAGCAAAGATGGACAAAGGTCTAGAAACTTCTCTGGATACATACTATTTACTAAAAAATTTTATAAGAAGAGCAAGAAGAAGTTTAATTAAGTCTTTTGAAGAGGGCACTAACTCTGTGAAAAAAGTTTGGGAAAGTTAACAGAAGAGGAGAGAGAACAATATAGTAAAAGGGCTAAAGAAATTAGGGTCCCACCGAAAGGGAAGAATTATATTGTTCCCTTCCACACACTGTGTACTCCGGGACAATTTATGGAAGTTTGCAAGCACTTAAAAAAAGTAAAGATAAGATGGAAAGGCTAAAAAGAATTGATTTTGATAAACTAGTTGAAATATGCTACTCACAAATTTATAGAGATTTTTATGGTGAATTGATCTGTATGTTTGAACTTGTAAGTAATAAAATTTCAATTCAAGGGAAGACGCATGAAATAGGGCTTGGAGATGTAAATCAATTGATGGGCCTACCATTTAAGGGGTAAGAAATTAAAATGAATGTGGAGAATGAAGATAAAACATTTAAGGAATTAATAAGTGACTATGGGAAAGTGCCTTACAAAACAATAGGAAGATGGTTGATTGAAGGAAAAGAGGATGAAAAGTTTGAATTCTTTTTTGTTATGTATGCATTAGGAATCCTCTTGTGTCCTGGCTCTAGTATATGGGTCAGTGATAAAGTGTTGAAGGTCATGATGGCGACAAATAGTGTTAGGATTATAGTTTTGATGATAACAAAGTCAGATATTTTGGATTAAGTATTTTGATCGATCAACTGATCGATCAATCATTTATCGCTAAGGTTTCAGATAATTGTTCAAGTGTAAATCAGGTTTATAGTAGGTATTTTGATCGAAGAACTATTCAATAAGTAGTTAATCGATAAAATGATCGATTATCGCTAACGTGGAAATCACACAAGATTATGGTTAATTATCGATCAACTGATCAATAATATCAGATAAACAATGAAGTTACTGATAAAGAGAAGCAAATCTGAAGTGTATTTATCGATCACATGATCGATAAATCAGTTATCAATAACGACTTCGATAAAAGGTAACACGATCTACTTGTTCTGCACATTAATTCTGTTACCAATTTATCGAGCATATTCTTGATCATTTGTTTATCGATCATATGTTCGAACATTATGCTCTAACTCTCTGTATGCAGGTAATCATCTTTACTGATGGATCGATAACCTTATCGATCATTAAATCATCGATCACATGATCGATAATCAATGTCTTTATCTACTCTTATTTAGTTTTCCTGCAACCAAATTATCGATAACATTATCGATAATTTAACTTGTTTGCATAAATATCTTTTCACATAACATGATCGATAAAGAGTCTAAGGATTGCTATATTCGCATTAACTTATGTTGAACTATTTTCGATTACCTAATCGATCATTGATTTTTCGATAATATGATCGATCATTCAATTCCCTGAAACTCATGTTTTCACAAAACGTGATCGATAATCAGTTTCCTTGCCTTACAAGATTAAATTTCTTTTCACACTTTATTCGATCACTTGTTCGAATATTCATTGATCGATCACCTGTTCGATCACTTCAGATAGTCTGTGTCTTTTACTGAATATATTCATATTCATGGTTTATCGATAACATTATCCATCATACATTTATCGATAAGTTGTTCGATCATCAATGACTGAAGTTTCATTTCAATAACATTTGAATTATCGATAACCTGTTCGATCAAACAAGTGTTCGATCACTTGTTCGATCATGGAACGATTTCCGTTTACTATGATAATTCTTAAAGTTAATGATCCAACACTTGATCGATAATATCGTTGATCTAATTCGAAGAGTCTTCACTCTGTTTATCGATAACATGATCTATCATCAAGTAATCGATCATCTCTTCGATCAAACATATCCAGGATGTCTTTCTGCTCTTCTTATAGATAAATCATTTCGTCCCAAATCATTGAATGATAAATTTGTTTTCTCTTCTTAGTTCATGACTAAAGTATTCACCGCAAGACTCTTATTTGTTTAAAGCTTAAAATATGCAGATTAATAAAAAAAAGGATACAACGGCTCTTCAACGGGATTACGTAGACTGCAACCTACAGTGTCAGAAGCTCAGGCGTATTAATGGCGGAACCGTTGAAACCAGCGAAACACGCAAACGGAGTCACAACGGCTAGAAGCTCTTCCGTCTAACGGCTACTTAACGATATCAACTATAAAAGGCGCGAAGAAGCATTAATGAAGGATTGAATACCGAAACTACCACCTGCGATTATTTAGTCTAGCATTCAATACTCTGCTTTCACATTACTACCGAGCATCAGTGTTCATCATTAAATTCACTCTGTAAGAGAGCCAATTACTACTCTTATTAAATACTTGAGTGTTACTTAAGAGTGTGGACTCTTGAGAGGGCGTGTATCCTTACGGGAGTAAGGGGGAGTGATTGAGCGATTCAATTACTGTACCGAGGCACCAAGAGCCCTGTCGATCTTGGAAGATAGTGATACTCAGAGGTGTTCTGGGGACTGGAAGTAGGTCAAGTGGTTAAGACCGAACCAGTATAAATCTTGTGTCTTCCCTCTGTGGTGAAATTTCTCCTGACTCTGACTCTCTGTTTTTATTCAATACTGTCACGCATTTAAGTTAAAAT